CGGCCCGCAGCCCCGGAGATGTGCGGCGCCGGGCACAGGGCAGCACGGGCCGGCGGAGGCTGGGACCTTATCGGGACAGCCTCCCAGGAAGCAGGGAAGGCAGACACGGCATTCCTCTAGAATGACGGATTTGTTTTATTTTGCATTTATGTTTTTCATTACGAAAGAATTGTGGAATGATGTTTTTGCATTACCTTTTTTTTTAAATTAACGAAAGGGACTTTTTCCCCCTATCCCTTTGGATAAACAGAGATCTGGTCAGATCAGCCCCTTGGAGGCTTCCTCTTGCTCATTTGAAAATAACCCACTCACAAAAATCACCCTGAGCGTCGACCTTTAACAGGTCTGCACAGAGCCGTTTTCTCTGTTGATGATGAAACGAGCTGCTTTTGCACTGGTTGATTAAAAGCCACTGCTTCAAGCTGCCCCCACCACCTCTTCCCCTCGGGGATCCCTGGACCCCCCCGAAAGCCAGCATCTAGGACAGCAGGGGCGCAGGACCCGGCTCCAGCCTGTGGCTTGTGTCTGTTCTGATGGGACGTGCCTGAGCCTCGCTGCTTGTCGGAGGACCATCAGCCACACCTGGAAGGCTCAGCGCTGTCCAGCCGTCCCCCTCACCCCGCCTCCCCCCTCCCTCCCGCGAGCCTGGGCCACACTGCCCTCCTTTGCCGTCCTCCAGTGTATCAGACTTCCCTCTGGGCCTCTGCAAGTGTGTTTCCTTCTGTCTAGGATGGCCTCTCCCACCCTGTCCCCGTTCGACTTTGGTTAACATTTCTCATCCTCTCTTTGATCACTCATAGTTGGTTGGCTTCATTATAGGTTGGATGGATGGATGGATGAAAGAATGACCAGTCACACTGAGAGGAGCAAGTGCCTGCAAATGGACTCCTTCCATCCATGTGCCTTGTCTTCGCCTAGTTAATCATCGCCAGATGGAGAACGGAGCCGGTGGGTCTGGGGGCCGTGACATCCACCTTCTGTCTTGCTCAGCGTTGCTTCTCCTGGAGAAGCGGCTTCACCCTGGGTGATGCCTCCTGGCTACAAGTATTACCACTTGCAAAGAGGGAAAAGAGAAATAACCTGAATATTTGGGATTCCAAAAGTTGTCTTGTACGAGGTAACTGGAAGTTTCCTATCTCCTCTTTCTGGCCATGGGGCAAGAAAGAGAGAGAGAAGTAAGGGAGGGAACGGGGCTGGATAACTCAAATAGCCTGAAGACTCCCTGACCGCTGGAAACCCGGCATTCCGTCGAGAAGTCGTTTTGCTCTGTCCTCGGAGCTTGGGGCTGCAGGTTACAGGGCAGGTGGGGGCCGGCCCCAAAGAGAACAAAGTAAGATGGGGAGGGACGGCTTCTTCACGCTCACCCACAGAGCTCGGACACTGCTGAGAACAGCATGTTTACCAGCTCGCAGGCAGCGGCGCCGTGTTGTGCTGTGCTGTGCCATGTTGTGTTTTAATCACACTTCCCTTACTTCCTTATTGTTCATTGGGCACAAGCCTCCCTTGACTTTACAGTCTACAAAGTTTACAACCAAGAGAATGAAAAGAACAGGTTTGCAGGCCTTGTGATGGGGCCCGGGACCTCCCTGGAGCCTGAAATTAGGGGTTTGACGACACGTCTGCTTCCCTTCCACCTCCAAATGGTAACAAAGTAGGGATAATGGAGGGGTTCCATCTTCCCCGCTGGGCCCCAGCACCCTGAAATGCCGTTAGGATGAAAACACTACTGTTTGTCAAGAGTAGAGAGCAGTATTTTTTCAACGCGTAATTTTTGGAACTCCAGCCCCAAGAAATACCCTGCGGGTACCAGTCAGCGGTCAGTCTCAGTGCGACGCAGCGCTGTGTTCGTCATCCCTGCCCCCGCCAGGGTCCGGCTGTCACACGCTGCCTTCTTGCAGCCTGTTCACGCTGGGCTCTTGGTCCAGTCCCACGTGCTCTGGGGTAAGGAAGCTGCCATTGGTCCCCCACAGCGTTTGGGAGCCCTCACTAGTGCTGGCCCTGTGCTCCAGGCTGGGGACCCCCAGGAGGAGTGGCCCTAGGCAGGGGGCAGACTTACTGCAGGGGTGGCAGTCCTGTGCAGAAGGACCGGACCATGTGTGATGGCAGTGGGGACAACGCAGTGAAGACGACACTGATGGTTAATTCATGGTTACCCTGGGGCGGCAGGCAGAAACGTACCGAGCTGACGGAGGGCTTGCTTTTGTCTCTCATTCCAGGGGCCCCGTCTGAGGCCGATGGACAGTAGTAACAAGGAAGAGGGTTCAGTTAAAATTAAAGGGGGCTTTCTAACCGAGAGCCTCCAACAACAGTGTGGGTTGCTCTCCGAGGAGCGGGCACCTCGGCACTGAAGCAATGCAGGAGGGCAGCTGACAGCCCACCCTCCCAGATGTGTGCGGAAGACACTGACATGCCGGGGAGCTGCGGGGGCTGGGTGACCCCGGGTGGCCTGTGACCTGAGGCACCCACTCTGCTTTGCCCTCTCTGGGGGTGAGGGTTAGTTGCTTATCTCAGATGTGAGGACCCAGTCCTGCCAGTCTGGTCCATGCTTGCGCACACACACACGCACATGGATAAAAGTAGAAATGCAACAGGACTGAGAGATTTAAAACTTGCCATTTTGTATAATTAATACTTTCTTGTGTCTATATATAATGTAAATATGTTTAAAATGAGACTAGATTTCACTCTATAGTCTTAACTTTAAATAGTCTGCCATTCTGTGACACACTAGCAAAATACGGTCATGACAATTTGACCAGGTTTGAAGTGGATCAGAATCGGTTCTGAAAAGCCAGCCTAGATCACTTGGATCGAGTTTGGTCCAGAACAGTTGCTTTCTGGTTGTGTACAATGTTCACATCAAGAGAAGAAGGGCGGGAATAAAAGGAAATTCCTTGTACTATTTTTGCAACTTGTCTGTATGTCTAAAATTAGTTTTTTTTTAAACCCCATATCCTTTGCTCCTAAACCCTGCTCATACCATGCCCTGCCTGACGGACCTCCCTCCTCCTTTAAGGCTCAGCTCTGGCAGAACACCCCAGATTTCCGATCCCCTCCCACGAGTCCCCAGATCCCTCTGCAGATGCTCCAGGTACACCCGCCACCTACTAGCATGCCATTCTGCTTCGCACCTTTCTCCCCTTACTCTGAGCTGCCTTTGGACTGGGGCGTTGTCTTCATTCCATCTTTACCTCTGAGCCCTGAGGCCCGCACAGCACTCAGCACATATTTCTTCAACAAGTTAATAAGTCAGTCCAATTTGAACGAGTTTCATTAGTTTTGTTTCTTTTTTAAAACTGTAGCAAAATACACATGACATAAAATTTACCATTTTAGCCATTTTAAATGTCCAACTCATTGGCATTAAGTATATTCCGATGTTGTATAATTTTTCTATCATTTTAAATGATTTAAACTGGTCAGAGCTGTTGGAGCCACTTAATCTGGACCCAAGGGACTCCTGACACTCAATTAATTTAATCCCACTCACACCAGTTGCCTCCAATCAGAATCTGTTTGAGTGTGGAATTGTTCATCCCACTTGAACCAGTGTGAGTCGGGGAGAACCGGCCCTGCCCAGGCTCCAGGCCAGCCGTCTGAGGTGGTCAGCACCGAGGTGGTGCTTTTTTCTTTGGCCTAATCTCATGGGTTGTCACTTTCTCTTTTGTTAATCCCCCGCCCCGCCACCCGGGGCTCTCTGCCCTGTTGCTCTCCTTCCTGCTCCCACACCCCACACCCATCCCGGGCTTGGCCTGGCTCCAGGGCAGGGAGCTTTCCTGTCCTGCCACCTTCACTGTCCCACCCCAGCACCTGCATCTTCAGAACAGCCCCTGCAGGCCAGCCTGGGAGGCCGCCATAAACAGACAGGCTCACCTATGGAGACCACCTGTGCTGGACAGCCCCTTTAAATACTTAAGGTCACCCGCACCCCCTCCTGGGAGAGGAGGGCCGTTTCCTCACCTGCACCCTCTTCCCTGCCCCACTGGCTCTAAACCCTCCATGTGAATTCAAGGAACGTAGCGCGGTGCCAGGCGCCAGTCATTCTCCGCCACTAGCTGGCTGGGTAACTGGTCATGCCCTCTTCGGGGCCATATATGCCAATTAGTAAAAAGAAGGGTTTGGAGCTACAGATTAAAGTTTGATTTTTTTTATTACTGTTTTGCAGCAGGCTTTTTTCTTCCCACACAGTACGACCCTAAGACAAGAAAAATGCTGAAGGCCGCTGTCAGAAGGCGTGTTTTCCCTCCCCCGTGCGGGCTAGCCCCCCGGCAGGATTTGGAGGGCTCTTCTCCTTTCGCCCTCCTCCAGAAGGGGCCCGGTGAGTGTCATCTTGTGTGTGTGCGCGAGTGTGACTCGTGTGCCCTTTAGATGAGGGCGCCTCCTTCGCTGCCCTTAGTCACCGCGGCCTTCTCTGCTCTTCTTTGCAGCAAAAACGTCCTTGCTGGCTCCCTGCTTCAGCCTCGTCCTCACCCTGTTGCAGCCAGAGTGGTTGTTCCCCGTCCCTCCCGTGCCTCGGTCCTTCAGTGGCTCCCAATGACCTCAGGATAAGACTAGCGCGGAGTTCAAAGCCTTCCACCATCCGGCCTGAGCTGGTTCACCTCCTGGTCGCACTTTTTCCTCTTACTCGGCCAGTCCGGACCTCGGACCGCCCTCCTGCCAGGCTCCAGGCTCCTGCCCTCGTTTTCGCGGTCTCCACTGCCCTCCCCTCTGTGCGACGATAGCTGTTCCCTGGGTACCAGGGCGCGGTGGCGCTCATCCTTGCAGGCGCCCCTCTGGGGCTCGGGG